AGCAGGAGGAGGGGGGGGGAGAAGGAGGAGGGAGGAGGAGGAGGGAGGAGGAGGAGCAGGAGGAGGAGGAGGAAGGGGGGGAGTAGGGAGGAGGAGGAGAGGAGGAGGGGAGGAGCAGGAGGAGGAAAGCAGGAAGGAGAAGGAGGAGGGAAGAGGAGGAGGAGAAAGAAGGAGGAGGAGGAGCCGAGAACAGCTCGGAGCGAGGCAGGCTCGAAGGCACGGGGGAGGAGGAGGAGGAGCCGAGAACAGCTCGGAGCGGTGAGGCCCGGGGACCGAACACGTGGATGCTATATGGCGCCTCGCGCCGAGGCGCGGCGGGCCTCGGCGCAGCAGCGGCACGGCACGCGGAGGGCCCTCCGGTGTGGTGTGTGTTGGGCCCCCGGCAGGTTCGCCGGCAGGAGCCGGCGAGCGAACAGGAGGGTGAGGAGGAGGAGGAAGAGGAGGAGGAGCAGGAGGAGGAGGAGGCGGAGGAGGAGGAGGAGAAGGAGGAGGAAGAGCAGGAGGAGGAGGAGGAGGAGGAGGTCCCCGGCAGGTTCGCCGGCAGGGGCCGGCGAGCGAACAGCACAGACCCAGACCCACACAGGGCAGTTTCTAGCAAATAGGATCTTTCAACAGATAGGACGTTCCATGCATGATTCATGTATGAATGGACTGATGCATGAGCTCATCGTTGCGTTTTTAATACCAACGCCCCGCGTGTTTGATGCATGATCCGCACGCAGAGCATGTATCAAAAACGGCACTGTAGGGTTGTGGATGCCATGACAATGGACACTCGAACAATCCGATCATCGAATTAAAGATGTGTTTGTGAAATGTGTAAAGCATGATTCTAAACGTGTTGCAAACATGTCTTAACATATTCAAGACGTATGTGACACATCTGTTGGACATCTGGAATTTACTTGGCATCACCATTAATCGCCTTCCACAACCATACGGGGGTCGTCGGGAGGAGGACTGGCCATGGGTATGGGTGCGAGTTGTCGGACCCTGGGGAACGCTCCCGTTCGAGCGGGGACCCAGTCCGACAGCACGCACCCATGGCCCTCTCCGACCCCCCTCAGAGTAGGGGGTGTGCTGTTGGTTCGTCATGAATGGCAGGGGGGGGCCTGGGCCTGAAGCAAGCCGCAAACGACCTGCACGTGAAGAGATCACGCAAGTCAAAAGGCACTTACCTACACGCTAGTACTCGTTTGAAGAGGGACGAGGGGGGAATTGCCGTGCAAGTAACCTCGCCCGAATCTAAATAAAAACTATAGGCCGAAGTTCCCGACCGTCTCCTCGTGCCGCCAGGTCGGCCTGCGGCGGCAGATGCCTCCCCATAGCTCCCCGCGAAGGCCTCTGGGGGCCAGGCCCATGGAGGGGGCGAAACTGGCCATCGCTCGGACGTCCATTCCCTGTGTTTTTGTTCGGTTTCGTGCGCAGTTTTTTCTCAAACAATGATCAAGGATGCTCCTCGTTGGTCCTCGCCGAAGGAAAAATGCACACGTCCGAGCGATGCCAAGGAAACAGGCGAGGCAACTTTGGGAGCCCCGACACGGTGCGGCGACAGACCCTGCGGTGCCGCACGGCCCGCCGCCGCACGGCCCTGGGACCCTGGCGGCCCGTCGCCCGAGACCTCCTCGGCGAGGGACTCGAGCCCCGAAACCGTGCGGTGGTCCCCGAATCCCCACCAACTCACCGCACGGTGTGGTCACCACCCCGTTCGGAGGCCCCCTGGCCATCGCTCGGACGTTCCTTCCCTGTGTTCTTTTTCGGTTTCGTGCGTGGGCTTTTCGCCAAAGGATCAAGGATGCTCCTCGATGGTCCTCGCCGAAGGAAAAATGCACACGTCCGAGCGATGCCAAGACACAGAACTCGGTGACGACCGGGGCGGCCGCCGCCGAGAGGGCACGCGGCGCGGGGGGGGCGGCCGGCCCCTGCAGCCCGGGGGCCCAGGTGATCTCCCTGCGGAGCCGCCTGGAGACGCCGGAACCTTCGGCGCTTCGTCGGCATCGCCCGCATCCTCCCCCATCATCTTCTCCCCATCTTGTGCCGTCTCCGTTCCTACCCCCTGGTCCTCCTACAGAGACTCCTCCTCCTCCTCCTTCTCCTCCTCCTCCTCCTCCTCTAGATCCTCCTCCTCCTCCTCCTCCTCCTGATCATCCTCCTCGTCATCCGCCTCTCTCCTCTCGCATATCCAACCTTCTCTCCCAACCTATATGCTCACAAACCTCTTCTAACGGAAGATTAATCAACATCCGCGAGTGTTCCCTTCCTCTTTCACCTCCTCCCCGTCATCACCATCTTCATTGTCATCATCGTCATCCTCCCCCTCCTCATCTTCCTCCTCCTCCTCCTCCTCCTCCTCCTCTACCCCCCTCATGATCCTCAGCATCAGCATCCTCCTCCTCCTCCTCCTCCTCCTTCTCCCGATCACCATCACCATCACCATCACCATCACCACCACCACCACCATCACCATCATCATCATCATCATCATCATCATCATCAGCATCATCATCATCATCATCATCAGCATCAGCATCAGCATCAGCATCATCATCATCATCATCATCATCATCATCCTCATCCTCATCATCATCATCATCATCATCATCATCATCATAAACATAAACATCATCATCATCATCATCATCATCATCATCATGATCATGATCAGCATCATCATCATCATCATCATCAGTATCATCACCATCACCATCCTCATGATGCATCATTACCATCAGAACAATCAGCATCATCAGCATCACGATCACCAACGTCATCAGCATCATTATCAGCAGCATCATCAACATCATCATCATCAACAACATCATCGTCGGAGTCATCATCATCGTCGTCGGCGTTGTAGTGGTTTTCATCTTCGATGTCGTCATGACCGTTATCATGATCGTTGCCATTGGCAACGTCACCACAAACATCATACTTATCGTCCTCTGTTATCTTCTTCCTCCTCTCGTCTCCCCTTATGTCCATTCTCGTCCTCATCATCCTCCCCCTTCTCCTCAACCTCCTCCTCCTCCTTCCCATCGCATCATGTTCATCTTCGTACTCACCCGCATCTTCATAGCGTCCCCTCCCCCCCTCCCCTGCCCTCAGGACGGAAGGAGAAGAAAGCTGCTCGAGACTGCAAGTACGATTCCAGCCCTCGGCCCGCAACAGGCTGCTCGCCTGACGAAACCGCCTACGACGGCCAGCTGGCAAACAACGGAGGGAATCGCTGCACAACGTGAGCACTCTTCAGGGGGAGTCGACCATAGGGGAACGAACAATGACATAAACATAAAAACTCGGAGGTCCGCGCGGATCTCTCGGATCGGCGCTGGGGCCCCCCGGCGGCGCCTCCGGCGCCGCCCCTGGCGCGCTCCACGCGCCAGGGAGGGGGGTCCAGCGCGGAACCCAGAAATCCGCGCGGACCTCCGAGTTCTTATGTTTATGTCATTTTTCGCTCCCCCAGACCAGCCCGCCCAATAGAGTCTGTCCCAAAACGATTCCAGCATCGACGCAGGACCGTAACACCTGCTCCCGAAAGCCACAGGACCAGCTTGCGGAGGGGAGCGAGGGGACGGGAAGCGCACCGAGGGGGCAACGAGGAGGGCTGCCCTCGCCCACAGTTTGGACGCCCGAAATGGGTACGGAAAGAATGGGTACAATGCCCAACAACAAATGTTGTCCCAAACCAACAGGGGCCGCTGTTGGACAGGCGGCCTTCTGTCTCGAATGGGCACAGGCCGCGGCGGCGTGGACAGCGAGTCCTGTTCAAAATGAACCAAATCCGCTGTTGGGCATTGTACCCATTCTTTCCGTGCCCATTTCGTTCGTGCAGACACTGGGTCTCGCGCTCCCGCCGGCCCCCCGCCGCCGCCTTCTGCCGACGCCTGCGCGGGGCCACCGGTGGAGCTGCTCCTTCGCGTGGGGGGGGGGGGGGGGGGGGGGGCGATGCGGAGGGGGGAGGGAGGGTGCAGGGCAAAGAAGACGTGCAGAAGCATAGACTGTGGCAGATCCGCGCGGATTCCTTGGATCTGCGCTGAACCCTTCTCCCCGGCGCGCGGAGCGCGTCGGGGGCGGCGCCGAAGGCGCTGCCTGGGGGGGCCAGCGTTCCAAGACATCCGCGCGGACCTCCGAGAGTTGATATGTATGCGGTTGTGTCATTTTCGAAGGTCTGAGGCGCAAGATTATACAGTGAGGGTCCTAACCTAAAGAACGATCAATAACGAACAAAGCACCTTTTTTTATTCAAAGTAAATCCACGAAGTCCGAAGGAACGGCCGAGCCCCTTTTCTGGCGGCGTTCCGCCACGATCTGCTTTTGCGACTCGACCCCCACACCCACTGCCAAACTACCTCGGAACGCCCGCCCCTCCTCATCCCCTCCCCCCTCCTCCTCCTCCCCCCCTCCTCCTCTCCTCCTCCTCCCCCCTCCTCCTCCTCCCCCCCCCCTCCTCCCCTCCTCCTCCCCCTCCTCCTCTCCTCCTCCTCCTCTCCTCCCCTCCCCCTTCTCCCCCTCCTCCTCCTCCTCCTCCTCCTCCTCCTCCCAGCAGCTCGGCACGAGCGCCTCCGCCGCGCGTCTGTGAGCAGCTGCTCCCGGACGCGGCGGCCGCCGCACCCGCTGCGGCGGGCCCCGAGAGCCGACACAGCATCGCAAAAAACGCACACAGCATCGCAATACGCCCTGCGAAATGCCTAAGAAATTCATAGTCTCAGAAACTTCATAGTAATCCTAAGAAATTCAAGAAATGCCCTAAGAAATCAAGAAACTCAGAACTTCATGCCCTAAGAAATGCCTAAGAAATTCAAGAAATCATGGGTTCAGAAAGTCATAGTCTCAGAACTTGAATTAAAAAAAAACCCAACATGTCCATTGGAATCTCAATTTTTTTGCATTGAAACGTTCAGAAGCATCGAGACTCTGGCCGAAAACCTGAGTTTTCTTAAGCATCGCCTAAGGTGTACATCGCGACTGGAGCCGTAGACTCGATCTCCCTGAGCCGCTCTCCGAGACGGATCGATCTCTGGGGGCCCGAAGTCGGGCGAGAGAACGCCCAGCTCAACAGAAAGAAGACGCCAGGATCCCAGGGCCTGGCACGCCGGAAACAGGTCCTGAGGGAAGCATGTCCTCGATCCCAGGGCGGTCCCCCACGACAAGCGCTGCATCCTGAGAGAGCCGTTGTTCGACGGTCCTGGGGCCCAGAGAGCCCGAAAACTGGGGAAATCAAAAAGGCACCAATACCGCTACTCCCCAGACCTCTCCCAGGGCGCGTTCTGACCAGGACTTCGAAGCGAATCCAGCGGTGGCGACGAGGGCCGCCCAGGAGGCCCCAAGAGAGGAAAACCAGGGAAGGGTAAAGGTCTGGGTGCCATTCCCTCCTCTGGAGAACGGAGAACACATCTCGGGGCCCGCTCCCCTCCGGACCCGCTCCGGTCATCCGCTGGCGGCGCGCCGGAGGGGGGGCAGGGGGAGGGGGGAAGGCCTCTTAGAGGGAGGTTGCTTCTCAGAAGGCGCCAGCCCTACACCTGCAGACAAGGCCCGCGCCTCTGAAGAAGCAGGGGTGCTTCCAACATCGTGGCCAACTCGTGCGGGGTGCCTCTCAACAAGCAGGGGCCAACATCGTGGCCAACTCGTGGCCATCGGTGCCTCTCAACAAGCAGGGGTGCCCCCCCTGCGCGCCGCCAACATCGTGGCGGAGGGCGGTGGCCGCTGGAGGCCGCGGCAGCACGGGCGGCGCCACCGGGCGGCGCCACCGGGACGGCGCCGCGGCGGCGGCGGCAGCAGCGGCGACGGAGGCTGAGGTCGGGCACGTCCTCCTTAGAGGCCTCCTGGATGGGGTCGGAGTAAAAGGGGTCGGAGGATCGAGCCGCATCGCCGATACATCGGCGATGTATCGGCGACGCATCGGCGATGCACTGGCGATGCATCGTCGACGCGGGCGATGCATCGGCGACGTCGACGTGAAGGAAATCGAGCTCCACATCGAGCCGCATCGCCGATGCATCGCCGATGCGGAGCGATCCTCCGACCCCATCTACTCCGACCCCACCTAGGAGGCCTAGACTCCTACAGTCCTACAGGCGGATCTTGGAAAAACAATATCACGAAGAACACGTAGCACATACTCGAAACTAGTCCAGAGAGCAGGAGAAAGATCGTCACCAGACTATCTCTATCATTCTTGAATCTTCCTCCTGCAGAGGTTGAGCAGGGGCCGACCGTCCCGGCATTCCTATAGGCCTACCACGACATCTTCTTAGAACCCAAAAGCGTTCGAAGGACAGAAGACAATGTTCTGAGAACAGGAGCCCCATGCGTGAAAAAAAAGCAGCAGTCCCAGCCAGACATGTTCAGAGACGATTTCGCGCAACCCACAAGAGGTTCTTAGAACATCCTTGGGGGGCCTATACCGGCGGTGGACAAACCTCCCTTTAGTAAACCACCCTTTAGTGAAAGCGGCCTGGGACCATCATCGACGCGCCTGGACCCGCAGAAAAATGACGGCCGCGCCGCCCTCTCGCGAACCGAAGACGGCCAGTTCACCCATCGACATGTCAGGGTACGTAGGAGCTCTATCAATCTCCGACTCGAGGCAGGCCAGGCCGCCTCGCCGCTGCTCGCAGCAGGACGCGCCCGACCGCAGCGGGGGCGGCCGGTCCCCGAGGCGTCGCTCGCCACGGTCTGCACGGAGGCGCCGCCGTGCGGGGGCGTCGGGCCGCCGCCGGCGGCCGGCGCCGCGGGCGGCGGGCCTGGCGGGCCCGGCGGGCGCTCCCTCCCTCCTCCTCCTCCTCCCTCCCTCCTCCTCCTCCTCCTCCTCCTCCTCCTCCTCCTCCTCCTCCTCCTCCTTCTCGTCGTCTACGGCAGGAGCTCGACCACGAGAACCGCCCCACAAGAAAAGCCCAACCCTGAGAGCCCATGATGTTCATGGATCTCCGGTGAGGGAGCGTCTGCTTCGCTCGCCATCGCAGAGCCATCGAAGCCCAGGAAGCCCAGGGGCACCCTAGAGGCAAGCAGGTTGCTTCTTGGCATGGGCCTCCACGGTAAGCGCTCTGCGAGATGGTCCCCAGGTGTCAGCGCTGCCCCGGCAGATTCCCTTCTCAACGCAAGGATACACGGGGAAGTGGGCGTCTTCCTCGGTCTGAATTGCGAACGGGCCCACTGGATGAGCATCAACATGACATTGGATGAGTGTTAGCGACCCCGCGCGCCCCTCCCCTCCCCCCCAGCCCCTAGTTCCCCCCCGCGAAGGCCCCTGCCGCTCCCCTGCCGTGCCCCTCCCCTCCTTCCTCCCCGTGTTTTCCCTTTCCTAACCCATCTCTCCCGCCGTTCTCCCTCCCCTCCCTCCCCTCCCTCCCTGCTTGCCCCTCCCCCGTTCCATCAAGAGGAAGCCGCCGGCACTGCGTGAAGCGGGGGCCGGACGCGCAGAGCGTTTTTGCTTCGCTTCGCAATCCGTTTTTTTGCTATCTGTGGCTGAGGACGGAGGGGCGGGCCCTCTGATACACCCGGCGCCCTGGAAAAGCTGGCGGCGGCAACTGTTTGACTCCCACGGCGCCGCGAAGGCGCCCCATCTTATGGGGAAAGCCGGTATGCAGAGAGAGAGAGAGAGAGAGAGAAAGAAAGAGAGAGAGAGAGAGCGAGACGAAGAGAGAGAGAGAGAGAGATGAAGAGAGAGAGAGAGAAGGAGACACAGAGAGAGAGAGAGAAGTAGAGTAAGGGAGAGAGAGAGAGAGAACGAACAAAGACAACAACAAACAAGTGAGCGACAGAGTGACGACACCAGGAAGGATGGAAGCTGCTTTTGCTGCGGGCCACTGCCAGTCAAGTGTCCGCAGATATTGCCGAGCCGGTGAGAAACAACTAATTAGAACATGATAGCGGTATCGACTGTGCTCAGTCCAGGCACTACTTCTTGGGCAGTTCGCCTTGTCTCAGCCTCCCCAGAACTTCACAGGTATATGCCGTGTGGGCCGCTTGGCAAAACAGAGCGACTTGGCAATCCATGCGCAAATCGCGAAGCTTGACTCCGCCCAACATCCGCAAAGCCCATAAAATGTGAAGCGGCCGTTGCTGCAAGTGGCGTGGCTGTCATGCACCCTGTGCCCGCGGACGAAAGCTGGAGGCAGCACGCGTCGATGGGTGAAATCATGCCTACACCAAGGCTCATCATCGATTGGTGCTTTGCTGACATGCGAACCCACCGCGTGTCGCCCTCGGGCCCGCCTTTGGCGCTCGGACGTGGCATGCGGAAGTTGCGCGTGAACCGCACAGTGCGAACGAACCGTGAAACGAGCGAGCTATGGGTCGCACCAGCTTGTTGCAGGTTGCGCGCCTCCATATGGCATTGGCCACTGGCTCGAAATTGTTGCCTCAAGCGTCAAGAAGTGCGATCGCAACCTCGCGCCAGCGGACCACTCGCGGGAGCTGAACGCGATGTGCAGTGCTTTATGGATTTGTTCTGGCAAACTAGCACGATCCAACATGATGGAAGCAAATGCGGAAAGCAAAATTGTCCGAATCAACGACTTCACGAATCACATCGTCTGGGACCTAGGCGCTTGACGACCGCGCCGTGGCCAGAGCATCCGCCATCGAATTGATGAAAAGATGATGAGGTATCAGAGCCGCCGCAAGACGAGCAAAGTTCGTATCATCATCGGCACAATAATGGCTAGGCGTGCAAAGTAAACCGAACAACCCAGACCGCAAACCCAGCAGGTGCCGGAGCACCACCTCCACTATGGCAGCCAACTCAACGCGCGGCACCGTCTGACGCCGTCTGTCCTGCACTCCGTGCGCCCCGTTTTCCCATTCAAGATTTGGAACAGAGCACAAGCGCGTGAAGCCGAAATGCACCCGACGCAAGATGGAATCGGCGGCAAAAGGCCATCCGGCGCAATCGCCGCCGCAAGTTCCTCCAGGGAGCGGGCCATCATCCAGAGCACCAGCAAGACGGAGCCAATCTTTCGGAATGAGACCGCAGCACCAACCAAAATATAGGATGCTCACAAATGCCGTCAAGGGCCTGCCGGCGAGCTCTTGGAACTCTGTTCGCGAGACGAAGTGGCGCAACAAGAACAGCCCCAGAAAGCATGACTAGAAGAGCCAGAGCCATCATGACGAAGTGTTCGCGCCCCTCTGACCACCAACCGCCGCAGACAACAAACCACCGAATCATGCGGGGCAACGCCGATTCACCGTCTTTCGCAACATGCCGAATGAGCCTCGCCACGCGCACCCATTCGACGCCAATCTCCTCGCTTCCTCCGTCGTGGACAGGCGCGGCTGCGCGCCAGTGCGCAGCGCCAAGATGGGCATCGACGGCCTCGAGAAGAGCAGTCACCGGACCCTTGTCCGAGCCCGCCAGCCGCAAGCCTCCCCCGATGGGCGCGCGCATCTCAGTCGGCGCAGGGCACTGCCAGCCGAGAGATGCCATCGCGGCGTGGAAGGCTCCCATCGGCCCCCGAACGAGCCCCCGTCCACGTCGCACGAGCTCGAGCGATTTGCTCCCACGACTGCTGGACACAGCCAGCCAGAGGACCCCCTCGAGCCATTCGGCTGTGCCGCGCGAAGAACGACCCCCCCCGCGCGCGGACCCGGGCAGGGCCGCGCCAGCGCCCGGGGAGGGCCTCGGCGCGGCAGGTGCCCTTCTGCGGAGGGGTGGCTGGGCGCACGGCCCATAGCTTGCAATCGCTCAAGAATGCGCGGCGACCTCCTCCTCCTCCTCCTCCTCCTCCTGCTCCTCCCTCCTCCCTCCTCCCTCCTCCCTCCTCCCTGCTCCCTCCTCCCGCACCTCGGGCGCCCAGCATCTCTTCGGATGGACGCTCGCAAGGAAAAGCCTGCGCGCGTCCGGGCTCCAAGGCGAGGAGCGGCTGCTCCTCGCTGGTGCCTCTCTGCCAGCGCGCCTGCGAGCGCGCCGGACCACGGCGGCCCGTCTGGCGCAGGAGCTGGTGTCATCCATCGCCCAGGTTCGGGGATGGACAGAACCCCCTTTAGTAAAACGTGGTTTAGTGAAAACGACCTGAGGCCCAAACCTGGCGGGCGCAAGCCTGGAAAATAACGGCCGCGGCGCCATCTCGAGAACCGAAAACGGACAATTCACTAATCGACGTGTCACTGTTGGGGGTTCTGTCCGCCCCCGACAGGTCGCGGGCAGTCTCAAGACGGCCGATCACTCCGCGCCCCCGCGGTCGCGCTCTTTGAGACACGCTCGCGACGGAGACTCGCGGGCGAGGCGGGCACCCCGCACTTAGCAAAAAGGGCAGTTGGCCCGCGCGCGCCTGCGAAGACCAGACAGGAGAGCCCTCGGCGCAAGAGGAATGGCGGCCACAGGTGACGCGCGCGCGCGCCGCACAGGCAACAAGATACATCGCCAACCCGTTCCCGCAGAGACGGTCCGGGCACGGACTTGGAGGAAGCATCGAGAGGAGCAAGTCATCAAGGCTCTGGCCAATGACGCGGCCTGGCCGACACCTGGGGGACTGCCTCCGCTCGGGCAGGACGCCCTTGCGCACGCAACCTGAAGTCGGCGGAGACCGCGCTCCCAGATATAAACCAAGGGCGAGTGCCCGAAGCCCCAGCGGATAACTACGCTCAGGCACTGCGACTGCAAGATCGGCAAACCTCGCGGAGCCGCGAAACGCACGAAGATCCGGCAGAAGGCCCGCGACCTGGAAACCTCGACGCGCTGCCTATGCAGACTCCGACTCGTCCTGGCGGCCAGCGGTCTCGGCTGAACTCCTTTCTTGAAGGGGCCCCAGGACACACAAATAAATACACAAATAAAAAAAAAAACAGATTTTCCCATATTTTCTGGGTTTGTTTCTTCCCCCCCACTTCCCAAATTTTCCCATATTTTCTGGGGAGTCGACGGTTAATTGTCTGTGTGTGTATTTTCCCCTCCTGATTTCTGTTTGGCCCCCATGGACCGCGACGCGCGCGGCCCCGGGCTCGCGCGCGCGCGGCCATTCGGGCCCGCGACGCGGCAACGCAGCAGAAGCCAAAACGGGAGCAGCGGGGCGCCGCCCACCCCACCCCCCGGCTTCCCTGACCTTCCAGAGAGCTATTTTTTAGCACTGGAGGCCTAAAAACCCAAAAAACTGAACGAAACAATCTAGAACCAAGACGTGGAATAGCTCTGTGATAGGTTTTCAGGTCAGGTGCCACTTTTTAGCCCTCCTGGAAGGTAGGGGTTATCGAGGAGGACAACGAAATTGAAGAGCTGCTGCGTGGGAAGAATGGATTCTTCCTCGACGGCCGCGAGCAGCTGCGCAGACGCCGTCCTCCTACCCTCGTCAAAATGAACCTCGGTAATGGCGACCGCGCCCCTGCGATGTCGGCGCGCCCCTCAATGTCGATAGGCGCCCCTCCAATGTTGGGGCCAAAGCAAAAATGGTCTGACCAGGAACGACTCGGAAGTTCGATGATGCCCGACATTGGAGGGGCGGCGCATATAGGTACCTCTCAGTCACCGTTACTCTGTCCAGCATCTCCCCACAAGCAGTCCAGCCACGTAAGACATGTTTGAAATTGATTCTGACGAGGGTTATATAGGGGAACGAAGAATGACATAAACATAAAAACTCGGAGGTCCGCGCGGACTTCCCGGATTCGCGGTGGACCCCCCTCCCTGGCGCGCGGGGCGCGCCAGGGGCGGCGCCTGAGGCGCCGCCAGGGGGGTCCAGCGCGGACCCGGGAAATCCGCGCGGACCTTCGAGCTTTTTTCTGTTTATGTCATTCTTCGTTCCCCTAT